CAAACTGCGCTGTAGAGAGGCGGAAAAATTTAAAATTTAAAAATATAATTTCTTGTGAACAGCAGTTTGGACCCCCCCTTCCAAGTGGGCCCTGTGCGGGTGCACCTGTTGCACCTGCCTAGTTACGGCTCTGCTTATGTAGGTGAAATAGGATGTTCTGTAATTGATTTAGCTTTGGTTAAGTTGACTCGAATATCTATTGTAACAAGTTTTTCTGTATTGTATAAAGTATATAGTAATCATTTTCCAATTAGTGTGAGTTTAGATTGTAAATTTAAAAAGAAAATTTGAGAAGTGTTCAATAGGTTTAGGGGTAGTAGAGAGAGAATTTTTTGGAGGGAAGAAAGTAATGAGATGATAAATCATAAATATAGTGACTTATTGTGTGCAATTCAGAGTCAGTCAGTAATAACGTTTGAGATTTTGGATGATTTAATTAAATCTTCATTTTCAGATTGGTGCCAAAGGACGGTTGGAACTTCCAAATTTTTGTGGTTTGATGCAGATTGTAGCCAGAGTATTGCAATATTCTGGCATTCTGGCTGGAGAGAAACATCAGAGTATTGCAAGAAGAAACCAGGCATTGAATAGGATGAGGTGAGCGAAGATTGGAAATAGTATAGCTGTGTGTAATTTTGTTAAGGAGCGTAATGTGATTCGTAATTTATGTAGAGCTAAGAAAAAGCTTTTTTTTTGCAACGAATTAATAGAAATTTGGCATCTGGTGATAGTAAACAGTTCTGGCAATTTATTAATTTTTTTGTTAAAAGAAAATATAAGGAGCTTCCAGAACTTGATTGGGTAGCTTATTTTTCTCAGAAATTTTACTCTAGAAAATATTTACCAGCTATTTCTGTATATAACTAGTGTGTGAATTGGCAGGATGAGCTGTTGGATACAGAAACAACAGAATAGGAAGTCAAAAAGATTTTAGTTACCATGAAAAATGGTACTGCTCCAGATATTGATGGTATACTGGTGGAACTATATAAGAATTATCCAGGTTTGATTGGATATATGGTAGGTTTGTTTAATAATGTTTACCAATCAAGAAAAATTCCATTGGACTGGCATACACTGGTACCCCGGTTAACAAACTTAATCTGTTCTGCAACTCCATTCATTAACTGAATTGTTTGTTAACCGATTTGGTCGTTAACCAGGACGTTCGTTAATCGGGTTTCCACTGTATATGTAAGATTATTCCTATATTTAAAAAGGGGCTTAGAGATTTACCTGATAGTTATAGAGCAAGTTCGTTATTACCAACAATTTCTAAAGATATTTGTAAAATTTTATGTAAGCGATATGTAACTTGGTTGAATAAGTTTGAAGTACTCTCGGACTTCAGGTTGGTTTCCAGTCTGGTTTTTCAACATTGGACAATATTTTTGTTTTACATGCTTTAATACAGAAGTCTTTAAAGAAGAAACGAGGTAAACTTTACACTTTTTTTTGTCAACTTGACATCGGCATTTGACTCTTTAGATAGAGATCTTTTGTGGAGACAGCTTTTGAAGATTGGTTTGAGTTAAAGATTTGTAAATTTTTTGATCCAGTTATATAGAGGAATGCGTGTCTGGTAAAGAAGGTACGTCTGATCTTTTTTTTACATTAAAAGGTGTGAAACAGGGTTGTGTATTGAGCCCAATATTGTTCAATCTATATTTATATCCACTTGTAAGTAAATTGAGTGCTTCTGAATTAGTGGGTATTGATCTTTTGGGAATGGAGGTTAAAATTTTGACATATGCTGATGATTTGGTTGTTATGGCAGACTTGCCTATGGATCTACAGAGAATGATTGATTTTTTGAGAAATACACTACAGGAGTTACAAATTTCTGTTAATATCGATAAACCCAAAATCATGGTATTCTGAAATGGAGGAAAACATTCTAAAAATGAGAATTGGTTTTTACAAAATTGTAAAATAGAAGTAGTTGATGAGTATAAGTATCTGGGTGTATTTTTCCAGTCTAATGGGCATCTCTCAAAGCATTTAAAGTATATTCATAATAAAGTGAATACTGGAACAGATAAGATTATCAAGGCTTATGTATCTGGTAGATTGGTACGTTGGAAAGATAAGTTAAAATTATTTGAGTCATTTATACAGTCAGTAGTGTTATATGGGTCTGAGATTTGGAGTTTTGATTGGAGAGACAGAGACGATAATTTACAAATTAATTTTATTAAGCATTTATACTTGTTAAAAAGATGCATTCCATCGTATATTATATATTTGGAGTTTCAAAGGGTCCCTCTTTATTTTAATATAATAAAAAATAATTTAAGATGGTTACGCAAACAGTCTGTTAGTAAACTTACTGAGTCTGCTAAATTATTATTAATTTCTCGAAGAGTAGCGTGGGGAGATCAAATTGTGTCCTTGTTGCAGAATTTCAGTTACCGAAATGAACCAATAATGCTAAATGAAACTGTTGCCTCTGAGACTCGCAAATAATTATGTAAATGAGTTTAAAGATAGAGTGGCAAATTACAAATATAATAAGTGTTATCTGGATGTTTTTAATGAATGGGGGTCAGTGATCTATTTAAATATGGAAAGACCATTTTGTATTATACAAGCAGTGTTATATGTTGGTTGTAATATATTTAGAAGAATGATGTCTCTGTGTATGGAGTATTGTGAATTTTGTGATACTCGCGTCAATTTTGATGCTTTTCATGTAAGGCTCTGACATCAGTCAGACAAAAGTGTTTTGGTGAAGATTGTTTTTCAGTTGAATCATATAAGCAATTGTTACAAGATTATAATAAATATTATTGTATTTATAGGTTTATTACTAAGATAAATGGCTAAAGGAATTTAATTTGATTAGAACAAGATACTTTCTTTTCTTTTTTCAGGAGGTGTGATTACAATATATTAGAGGACAATTTAGTGCTTGACAGTTGGCGGCGTTTATGGTCAGCACTTTTGGGCGTATTATAATTAATAATTTAATTTTTTTCAGGTAATTGTCTAATTCATTTTTTATTATATTGTATGTTTTCTGTGCCTAGACCATTCGCTACCATTTTTTGTGTTTATTTGTTATTTCTTTTGTGGTTATAACTATTATTATTGTCGCTTGTGTTTGTTATTGAGATTAACTTTGTATTATTCCTTTTATGTTTAACAGGCTAATTGTTATGCGCTTATTGTGAATGATAATGTATTTTGTTTTAATATTGATACTGATGATTGTAATATTTTTGTGTTTGGTTCTAATATGCCCGTACATACAGGGTTTCCCTTGTACTATTAAATAAAAATAAAATAGGAGTAACATGTAGAAAGGCATTAAAAGAGGAAGTAAAAGGGAAAAATATTATAGAAAAAGAAAGTAAGTCCAATAGAGACAAAATAACCAATCTAGATAAGTGAGTAAAATAATTTTTAACAATTTTTTAAGTAAACCTTTAATTTTAAACAGATTTTATCCTTTTATACAGACAAATTTTAAATAGCATTATGTTAAGAATCCTTTTATGGATACTTTATGTCTGTATTGATATATTAATAATAGACAATAAAGAACCTGTGAGAAATTTTATTCATTTTAAATATCATTGTCAGGTATAATATTGTTGTTTTAAACAAAGTTTTTTAAAAAATTGTTAAAGAATATTATTGTAAACCTGCTGAAGAGGGGCGTCAGGTCCAAAACACAAAAACAGTGTGTGAAGATGAAAATAAAGATATTTTGTTTTGACTTTTTGCTAAACAGAAACTACACCAGTATAATAAGTCCTATTAACAAACAAGGTCCAAAGTAGACAAGGATACAAACAGAAATAACAGCAAGAAATTAACAAAATTAACTACTTTGTACAGCTATAATTTATAATAAAATATTTTTGGTCTGAATGATTGAAAAAAAATGTCTAAATAACAAAACATTTGATATAATAATCTCTAAATGCAAAAGACATTTTTTGTATTTTAATAATTTTAAATTAAGATTAGTTTGTTTGACATTGACAGTCTTCTGATATAATTTATCAAAATTTATTCTAACATTTCTGATTATTGTTTCTACATTTGTGTTTTGTTCTTTTATACATATATATATATAATATATAAAATTTTTTCTGGCATATTAATTTGAATTATAATTATAGATAAATAAAATTATATTTTAAATTTAAACATAACTTTCTATTTTTTCATAGACAATAAATGAAATAGAAATGGGAATGCTCCAGCATTTATTTCAAGTAATATAATGGAGATAAATGACTAGAAAAAATAAAAAAAGACTTGGTAACAGAAACAGAAATAAAATAACAATCAATCATCAAAAATCAATTCATCAATTTGAATAAAAAAATTATTATATCAGTCATTTTAAAATATGATTCTGTCATATTTTGAAGGCTACTATTGGTTTGTTCTTTTTTTAAATTAAAACTAATATTAAATAACAGATTCGTTACTATAACAGAATAATTCATAATCTGTTAATAATTATAACAGAATAATAATCTGTTATTATTATAAATAACAGAGTAACAACAGATATTTTATTATTAAATGTTTTAAAATAATAACCAGAATCTTATTTGATACTTTTAAGAATTAAATTTAAATATTAAAAATTCTACATTTTGAAATATTTATAAAATATATTATATGCTATGTTATTTATTATATTTCAGAATTTAATTTAAAAACTTTGTTTGTAAATCTTTAAAGGATTATAAAATTAAACTTTTCATGTAATTTTGTTAGTTTTATAATAAAAAGAAAACTGATGTTAAATTATTTATTTTCTAAAATATATTAAAAAAAATTTGTTTTTAACTAACACAAGTTTTTAAAATTTAATCTATGTGAACTGATTTTGATTAAAAATTTATTGAAATAATTCTAATTGTAATAATTGTTAACATACTTCATTCCTTATACACATATATTACTTCAAAATTTCTATAATAAGCTAATAAAATTAAAAGTTGTCATTATTAATTAAAACAATAATTATTACTTACTGATATTTTCAGTAAAACAGTCTTTACTGAACTCCATTTATCATTTCTCCTATCTACAATAACAACAAATCCCAAATCTGCGTCTTGCATTCTAGATGAGATCAATCTTCTATCCGAAGGATATTGAATACAATCACCTTTCATAAAAGGTCTAAAGAAGTAATATAAAGTCATACATGGTTGAAATTTCAAGAAATATACTGATTGATTTTAGTGCTTTAAGTAATAATTATATTTGTGAAATAATATCTTATCTGTATTTATTTGGTAATTCTTCAAATAAAAAGGAATGCATTATATTTCAGAAAATTTTACATCTACTATATATAAAACACCTACAAATGCAATTTTATTCACTCACTTGAAATTAAAATGTAATAACATAATTTAAAAATTTTTTTAAAAATTTATATTTAACTTAAAAATATTCTTATAAAAACAAATAGAAAACTTATATAGTTATATCTAAAAATCTGTGACTATATTAATGAACTTACGATGGAACACTGGTCAAGTACACCATCAATTTTCTGTAGTCGTCATCAGATAAGCTGCAAAATGACCCTGTGTCAGGAAATGTCACAATTGGATATCCTTCTCGAGTTTTTCCACCTACAAGTTTATAGTTGCAACGTTATCACAATATTGGCAAATTTTTCCATTAAGTAGCATAATTAAATTAAAGACCAGGAGATTCAACTGAAATGAAAGTTTGAATGTTTAAAAAAATAATTAAAATGATAAAATCTATTAAGTTTATACTCTATGTGGGTGATTTTTGTTTGTTATGAAACAACAAAAAATTTAATGCTTTTAAGCATTTTTATAAAATTAAATATGTTTTACTAAAAAAAATTATTTCACTGCAAATATTTAGGACTTTTTCATATTTTTATTCGTTTCTTTTAAATATAAACATTAGAAACATTCTTGATTATGACTTGTTTGATTTCCTTTGATTTCTCATAAAAGCTTTTCTTTTTGGAAGTTTTTCCACTAATGACTTTAATCTAAGTCTATTTATAATTTAAAATAAGCAGTACAAATTTTTGACTTTGCTTTTTCTATGTGTAACCTTTTCAACTACTGTACTTAAAATAGACCATTTTCAATAATTCTTAAAGCCATTGAAATGTGATCTCATAAAATCTATATATATATATATATATATAAACTTAAGATTGAATACTTACTAAAAAGCTTTAAAATTTCTTTTGTGGAAAAAAAAATCAATTTTTTTCATTATCGTCTTTTAATCATAACATCCTGTATTTTGATGCAATAAATTTGCAATATTCTATTATAAAAGATAGTATGGTGTTATTCTTATATGATTTTAAACAATATAATAAAAAAAAGCAACAAAGAAAAGGGATAATTGTTTCTGGTGAAAAAGAAGTCAATGCTGTAAAATCTCAAGACAGATTTTGAATTTGGATGAAAATACATTATTTGGTATTACATTTACCTGTTATGATAACATAACGTGAATGCAGTAAATCAATGACATCCCTGACAGTTAAATAACAAGATGAATCATCCATTGTGTCATCTGAAATTATAAAAAAAAAATTTTTTTAAATATAATATAATAAATACATAAATTATAACCAGATGTTAGATAATATAATTCTATTTTTAAAATTTATATTTTAAATATAGAATTATATTATCATGTATGTTACTGTGTTCTATTGTAATGAACAGATTTTAATACATTTTGCAAATATTTCATTTTTTGTTCAAATTTCTTATAATTAAGAATTTAAAATTCACTAATTTTAAAAACTGAATGAAATAATAATTATTAAAAAACGTTTGACCTTTACTTCAAAGCTTTCATTAGAGGAAGTAAAATTACTTTCGTCAGTTGAGATGTAATAAAAATAAACTATTAAAGTATAGAATTTTTAATAAAGTATTAAAGTATAGAAGATATTTTAGCTTTGATCAGGATTCTCTAATTTAAAGAATTTTATTTTATTTTACAATCAGATTTACTATATTTCTTTATTTTTCTAAAATAAATTTTATTTACATTTCTCTTTTGATACATTTCAAACAACTTAAAGAAGTCTACAAAATATAATCTGTGTAATGTAACTGTTGTTATTTTTATTTTTTACAGAAATGAAAGTAACACCAGAAAATTTATGATTAATGATTCCTATTTTTAAAATGTTCATCTACTGTTATTCTGTAATCCATTTCTCTCAAAGCATTCTTATTCTTGGATGCACATCAATTTCTTTAACTAGTGAAACAATTCAATGAAAAAAATCCAAAGAACTGATAACTGATAATTAGACAACAGACATTTACGCCCTTAAAAGTGGCGTTTTAAGTGCTTAAAATAAACTCTTAAATTGCCTTATTTAGTCTTTATAAACAAAAAATAGGCAATCAAAATTTGCACAATGAGCAATTAACATACTTATCAGGATGATAAATTATTTATTTAACATATGTATTCCAAACAGAAATGCACATATTCAGAATGATGCAAACACAAAAGTAGACACACAATGTCCTTACATTTTTTATTCTCTCTGTTTCCCATAGTTAGCTTCACAATATATTACAAGCACTTTTTCCAAATTTTCAATAGAAAAGTTGCAACGTTTGTCACTGAGAATTAATTTATATGCAAAGAAAGAGTGTTCCACATTTACTGAAGATAACAGACAGTATTTCAACCTTGGAAGAAGATGAACTGGGAATTCGCTTTCAGTTTTGCTCTTCTTTCCTGCCAAAATATCAGCCACAACAAACAAGCACTTTAATCCAGTACTCTTTTGAAGCACTGCTTTCTTTCTTCACTTTTTTTTGCAGCAGTGCCTGGTGTATCACAAAGTTCTTGCTTTGCTCTGTTGAAGAGATCAATTTGTTCATATATATAGGTTTCCCAGTACTTTCAAGAGCAGTAATAGTATCTGCAATGAATATGAAATAACACTTGATGTACATCAAGTCGTTCTGAACATAAATGTCATTCAAAATTTTCTTGATTTTAGTTACACAAACTGCATTGTCTACTAAAATGGCCAGAAGTTTTTTGATATCAGAGAAATGTTCACTGTAGTAGTTAATACAAAATCATAGCCATGTATATGCTAAAGAAAAAATAGGCATTTGCCTAAAATCCACTGTCTAAAAATGACAAATAAAGCATCTCTAATGCTATATTTATTAAATAAAAGCACTTATTTTTAAATATTTCATATAGTTTTAATTTTATTACTATAAAATTGCATTAGGGGGTCTAATTTATTTCCATTATTCCATTATTATTGCATTCTAATTTTTTCTGCTTGGGACATGCATTCACTGGGACTTAAATATAAATAATCATTAATAATAATAAAATTAATTTATCTAATTGCATTTTCAGAAAAAAACAAAACTTAAACAGTCTAATTGAAGAATTAAAGTAAACCTTTACGGAAAATGAAATGAAAAATTAATAAAAACTTTTTAAAAATATGAAAACAGACTAAACTTTGTGTTTTAGGCAAAAATAAGCAGCAATGTCAAAATAAGCAATGTCTTTGTTCCTGTAGAATATCCTTTTAAAAACATTCCAAAACACTTGTATCGTTAATTCAAAATAAGCATTTTTAGGCATTATAAAATACCATTGTTTTGGTTTAAATGTTCATGAAAAGTGTTAATACTAAATCTTTGCCACGTATATGCTAGGGATTGTATACCAGTTTACCGATTTACCGGTTAACCGATAAATTGACAAAAAAACATTCGGTAAACTTACCGGTAAATTTCAAAAATTTACCGGTAATTCTGTAAATGAAAAATTCATACTAGAAATTTTTATGTAGAGAATGTTGTGTTTATAGATATTTAAAAGGGCTAAAGGGACATTGAAAAAAAAAAAAAACAGATAAGTGTAAGCAACAATATACCTAATTATTAATTTTATGTGAGATATTTTTTGTTTAATTTTAATTTAAACTTTCTTGGGTTTGAGAGGCACTGTAAATTGTACAGAAAGCTCTAGTTAGCATATGTGATTTGTGCTCTGCCGTTTTTTGAGATTTTTAAAGGTTTAAAATCTTTACAATCAACGTTTTTGTTAAAGATTAAGTAAATATTTTTTTTTTTTAATATTTAAAAATAATAATACGTAAATATTTCACGTACTTTTTAAATTAATAGCAATTTTGAATACACCACATTATGACAGGACATTAAAGCAATATTATTGCAAAATAACATTAAAATTTGTACCTTAAATAAATTTTTTACTTCTAACAACTGTTTAAAATAATTAAATACAAATATTTATTACAAGATTCTAACATTATGCCTTACGATTGTGCAAAATATGTATTATTCTAACCTTATTTTCGTGGGGAATCCCCATTACTCTCACGAAAAGAACTTTCTTTAATTTTAGATTGTAGAACCCGGTGGAATAGCTTACTAAACATGCTGGAAAGATTTTTATTACTTAAAGATGATGTCCGAAAAAGTCTAGAAACTTAACCTAACCTGGATTATTTTGTACAAAAATTAGATCAAAATTAGGAGATAAGACTTTAAATAATTTAAGTTTCTTGAGAAGTTATTTTTTAAAAAATGGTAATCAGTAAAATGGTATTAGGTACTATATATTATTTCTGTTTTATTTTTATTTTTCTGTATTATTTTATTTATGTTTCTAAAAGTTATTATTATAGTTTGTTTAGAATAACACTTTAATTTTTATATTTTTTATATTCTATATCTTTGAAATAAAAAATGTGAAATGGAAATCAAAATTACTTATATTTTTTATCACCTTAATTTTATTTTTCAGGAAAAAAATTTACCGGTAATTTACTGGTAAACCGGTATTTTAATTTTCATTTACCGAATTACTGGTAAATGAAAAAGTCAGTTAATTTACAATTCCTAGTATATGCCAAGAAAAAAAATAAGCATTTGTATAAAATCCACTGTCTACTGATAATATATTTAAACAGACTAAAAAATAATTTCATTTCTAAACTTGCAGTTACATGTATTAATATGAAATATTTTTTATAATTTTTGTAAGGAGTTTTACTTTTACATTAAGATTTATAAAAATTAATTTTTTCAAAATTACGACTTATTTAAGCCTGTAACCGATGCGAAATCGTAAAATATTAACACACAAATGTTTTCAGAAGGTGTTCCGAAAACACCTTTCGTGGACACTTTCCGTGACCTGAGGAACACCTTCCATGTTCTTCTTCAGGTTTTAGAAAAAACCTGAGGAAGAACACGGAAGGTGTTCCGAAAACGTTTGTGCGTTAATATTTTACGATTCTGCATCGGTTACAGGCTTAAGTAAGTCGTAATTTTGTTTATACAACCCGATGTGCTTGTAGGAGTTATTTATTAATTTTTTCAATTACTTTGTAAAAAAAGATTGTTATTATTTAAAAAAGTAAACCTATAATTAAATAATAAAAGAATAAAAACTTTAATTCTGATTTTATAATTATAATTTAAAATCAATTTTAGGTTAACAAATTTTTAATTTAATAAAATTTGATAAATTAATCTGCATATAATTCATATAATAAATTACAGACTGTCCTTATTTTATGTCCATTGATGATAATGCTGGTTTCAAATTTTCCCTAAAAACAGTCAAACAAATTTTTTTCACAATGTGTAGAATATTTTTTTGTAAATGCTAAATGCAAATATTTATATTAACGAATTATCAAATTTGGAAGATGAATGATGAACCAGTGTATAGTAAAAATAATAACTACTGATGCCCTTAAAAGGATTTGTTGCTAATGCAAAGACATTGACTGAAGTGTACTGCAAAATGGACCAAAGTAACTTCACACGAAAAAGTTTAAATAAAACCTTAGCATCTTATTACAAAATTCTCAAGAAAAGGAAAACAAAGGCACAGCAAATAACTTTGGATTCATATTTTACAAAGATGCATGATCTTCACATAGATGCCTAGCCCATCACAATGGATAACTCTGAACTTGAGCCACCATCACAGAATTGAAGTTGCATCCAATGGTACTATTATGTGAGATCAACACGGTGGTGTATATATTTTCATTCATGAATGTCTAGAATGCTTCCCTATTTGTTCCATAATAAAATGGATTTATTTTCTACTGATTTTGTTTATGCCATCTCTTCCAGGAATATGTTATCAGTGTAAAATGAGGGCAGCCTGTACTTTTACTTATTAAGAATTCTAATGTAAGAGGCTGTCCATAAATGCTGTCCACAATGGAAGGGAGGGGGGTTTAAACTAATTGGACAAAAGTCAAACAAGGGGGAGAAAAGGGTACACAAATTTCAGGTCCAACATATATTTAAAGAAATTATAAAAGTAAATTTGATAGAATAAATTAGAAAACTTAATAATAAAAGGATAATTAAAAATAAATATAAATTATAAAAGTCTAACTTAATATGAAATCAAAATAAAATTTAAATAAAAACTATTTAACTACAGGAAAAAATAGAAATGAAATATTTTTGGTAATATGATAATTTTAATAGATCAAAGAGAAATTATACAAAATT